GGAGACGGGCTGCACACGCCCCGCGGCTCGTCCGCTGTATTGGATCCGGCACACGGCTGGGCCACTGACGCACCTGCACATAGAGAGAGCAATGGAACGCAACGAAGAGACAACAGACATACGACAGTCAAACTCATGACCATCAACCAATCACACTGACTGACCAGTCCGTCAGTTACCTTGCTGCGATTTGCTATCGTCGGCCGTAGACCCCGCTACATCCCGAGTGGCGATGCTAAAGTGCTGCTGCTGCACAGAGGGTGGCTGATGGGGGTCTCCTCCTCGCCCACGTCGGCCAGCCCACTCGTCCTCAAACTCGTCAAACAACAGACTGCGCCGGACGCGACGTACGTGCCGGCGGCGGGCTCCTCAGTCATCTCCTCTGTCATCGCAGACAGACAGACTGAAGAGAAGGAAGGTGTCGGCTCGCGTTGTATGTATCCACCTACCTGTTGGCGAGAATGGCGAGTTCCTCTTGGGTCACCCACTTCTCTCTCGGCACTGAACAAAGGACGCACTTGAATCCGACACGTCGCGAGCAGGCATAGAAGAGTCGACGAATATAAAATGGAGACAGCGATGATATCCGTTTGGATGAGTCCCCCCATGTCTGCCAGGTTGTCGTAGACGTAGCCTGAACACATTCACAAACACGTCACATACACAGACAAACAGACAAACAGAGAGAGAGAGAGAGGTATGCATCCCCATGTGTGTGCTGTGCTGTGCTGTGCTGTGGTTAGTCTCACCATCCATCAGTGAGGGTATTGGGCGGTGTGGGTATGTATCGGTCCTCGTTGGCCTTCTGGTGGGCCTTTCTTCGCTTCTTTTGCCTTCTTGTGGGCTGTACTGTCCTTCTCTTAGCCTTTCCGTCCGCCACGACCACCACAGCCAACAGAGAGAGAGAGAGACTAGAGAGAGAGAAAGAGAGAGAGAGCAGAGAAGCTAGATAGATACTGACCAGCAGCAAGAGAAGAGAGGCAGGCCACAAAGCTCCCCCTCGGCCACGTCGGCGCACACCTCACCCGGCTCCTCAGCCACCGGCATCTCTACCGACTCGAGAAGGTCGAGGACCTCCGAGAGCTTGGCATCGATGTGGGCGAGAGTGCATCGCTCCGAGGGGAGGAACTGCAGGGCGCTTGGACAGATGGCCTCGAGCCGCTGTATGACGCCCTCCAGCCACCCCGGGCCCTCTTCCTGTGTCCGCTCATGCAGGTGCCGTCTGCCCTCCTCCATCTTGGGGTGGCCATTGGGCTCGGAAATGAGGGAGAACGTGTGGCGCCAGCTGAGGGCAAGCAGGCCTTGCTGCATGTCCCCGTCGAAACCGGGGCCGAGGGGATCTCCTTGTCGACCTCAGTGGCGCCATCCGGCGGCTCTATGTGGGACTTGTCGGCCCACGACTCCAGCCGCTCCAGCATCCGTTGCCACCGCTCGGCCCGGAGGATGTTGCGGATGAGAATGCCGAACTGGAAGGCCACCGTCGGCTCGCCCATCCACACACCCTGAGCAGCCTTAGGGGCAGCAGGCACCACCCTGTCGGCCCGCAGCTCGTCAACGGCGGAATTGGCCATGGAATGGACATTCTGTCGGCACAGCTGGCCGTCTGCCCCGCGAATCTCTCGCTCCTCAAAGTAGAACGGGCCCACTCTCTGCGACCAATCGTTGAGCAGCTGCCGCCGCCGATGCCAGTACAGCAGCTGCTCTGGGGCGCCGCCGAAGTTGGTGAAACCGGCCAGCTGCCGCTCCACTTCCCTGGTCGACGAGTCTGTGGGCACGAGGGCGGCTTTCCCGGGGTATGGCCGGGGGGGAGTGGTGCCGTCCTTGCGGCGGAGCAGCGGGCCGGGGGTGCGCGTGTGGAGGGTGTTGCCGTGGTCAATGAAGACCACGCCGGCGGCCTCAGACACGTCGCTATCACCTGAGCCAGACAAGCCATATCATAGGGACACACAAAAGCAATGCAGGTAGGTTACCAAAGCGGAATCATCGTGTGCGTATCTGTGGTGTGTGCGATTGACGGTCTGTCTGTCTGTGTGTGTGTGACCTATCGATTTACTTACCCCGTGCGATGGCGCTCCTGCGGACACAGGGTTGTTCATGCAGTGGTCGGGCAGCATCGAGTCGTAGTCCTCCAGGGCCCTCCGGTGCCCCCTGACCGCCTCACGCAGCGCCCTAACCAGCATCAGCAACTTGCCAATCATCCCCATGGCCTTGTCGAAGACCGGCCGTGTGGGTGGATGAGCTGCTGAGATGCCCGCCAGGTTGAGCCCGCCGCCCTCCTCCCACAGCAGGTCGTTCAGGCACACAAACGTGTCGCCGCTGGGCGGGTCGTTGACGAGCTGCTGGGCCAGGTAGAGGCACTCCTGCGGCGGGTCAGAGGGGCTGGCGCGGAACGTGGCGCCGTCCGAGGGACCCGCGTAGACGTAGGTGTCGAGAAACAGGCCCATCTCGCCCCTCTCCCTCCTCCGCTGCTGCAGCCTCTCCATCGTGGCCCTCTCGGTCTCCATCTCCTCGCAGATGGTCCGGCTGCCCGCCCCCCTAATTGCCATCTTGAAGGCCATCCATCATTCGTTGACCACGCCGGCCATCACCTTGCCGCGTGTGCCCTCGCCGAGCTTGACTCGGAGCTCTACTTCGGCACCGCTCTTCAGGCGCAGGATGGCGGGTGGTGCAGGTGCGAGGATAGGGGCGGGAGGGGGTCCCTCGTCACACGGCTCGGCCACTGACAGACCTGCACAGAGAGAGAGCAACGCAAGGCAACGCAGAGCCAACCAACAGACATACGACAGTTTCACTCATGACCATCAACCAATCACACTGACTGACTGACCAGTCAGTCCGTCACTTACCTTGCTGCGATTTGCTCTTATTGGCCGTAGAGCCCGCTCCGTCCCGAGTGGCGATGCTAAACGTGCTGCTGCTGCAAAGAGGGTGGCTGATGGGTGTCTCCTCCTCGCCCACATCGGCCAGCCACTCATCGCCCTCCTCCCACTCACCCTCACCCTCTCCCTCCCTCTTTACTGGCGGGCTTGGTGCTCCCGCGGCCTCTCGGCTGCTGCCGGCCTCGCTTGCGCCGCGGTGGTCGGGGAGGCGGGCGGCGGCCGTGTTGCTGAGGTGCGGCAGGGGGAGGATGCTCGGCTCCTCCTCGCCCACGTCGGCGCACACCTCATCCGGCTCCTCAGCCACGGTCTCTACGGCCCTCTCCCGCACGGCACTCTGCCGCGGTGGTCAGCAGACGAAGCCCAGTCGTCGTGGCCGCCGTTGGTGTGTGTGGTGGCACTGGCGGTGGTCTTGGTCTTGTTTGTGGCACGGCTGGGCAGGGGAGGTCTGCCGGTGATCCATGCCGACGGGGTGGGTCATGGTCTTGGTGTGCTGTTGGCGTCGCTGTCGTGAAATGGCACGGCTGGCCAGGGGACGGCTGAACCTGATCCGTGCCGACGGGCTCTTGCTGTCGCGCTGCTGCTGCTGCTGTGCTGTAGACATAGGCGAAGGACGCTGACAGTATGTCGCTGCTGTTTGCTCTCTCTCACTCCTCAACGGTCAGCCGTTTGCTGCGAGCTGAAAGCGATGCGCAGGAGGATTGAACGAATGCCAAATGAGAGGCGTCCTTATAGATGTGAAGAAATAATCACAGAGGACCGTCTCCCGTCTCCTTTCGTCGAGAAACGCGAGCTTTTCTCGGATAACGAATCCTTCGCCACACGGCTCGGCCACTGACAGACCTGCACATAGAGAGAGCAACGGAACGCAGCGCAGAGCCAACAGACATACGACAGTTTCACTCATGACCATCAACCAATCACACTGACTGACTCACCAGTCAGTCCGTCACTTACCTTGCTGCGATTTGCTATCATCGGCCGTAGAGCCCGCTCCGTCCCGAGTGGCGATGCTAAGAGTGCTGCTGCTGCACAGAGGGTGGCTGATGGGTGTCTCCTCCTCGCCCACGTCGGCCAGCCCACTCGTCCTCAAACTCGTCAAACAACAGACTGCCCGATCAGTGAAGAAGGGCTGCCTTCTGCCTACTCTCAACATGCTCTTTCGTGGGCAGCACTGACCACTTGGGATGCGCACTGCAGTGCACACATACTCGTGTGCGTGGCGTGTGCGCTCACCCGGGCTGAAGTGGGCGTGTGCAGGGTGGCTTGGGAGAGGCCGTGGCGAGGCATGTGAGGCAAACACCAGCCGTGGAGAGGCGAAATGGAGCAGATACGAGCGAGAAAGGGCAGAAGCTGAGGAAATGGGAGCTGTGTGGATGAAATCGATTTCCAAAGAATGGTCTGTCTCCTTGGTCGTCTCTTGTCTCTCGTCGAGAATTCTCGCCACGAGGGGAGGGACAACGAATGAAATGCGAAGGACAACAAGAGGCTTGCGGCGCAGAACAAACAAGCCCCCACGTCCGGACCACAACCGTTACGAAACGCATCCTCTTGCATCGAAAATTTTGCTCAGCGGCTGGAAGATCATTTTGGCGAGGAACCTTGCTTCATATGGTGACGGTCTTTCGCTACTGGTTTTTGCCGACTTGGTATGTTGTTTGTGCTGCTTGTGGTGTGAGGACGAGCAGATGACTGGAACGTTGCTGTAAACGAGTGAAAAGTCCGCTTTGTTCGTCTCTCGGTCTGTCTGTCAGCGAAACACGTGCACATGGACAGAACCCCACACGTACATCCCAGTGATAACCCGGATGAGCTGCATGGCTGGAGGGAGAAAACACACATACAGAGGGGCGACAGACACATGAGTGACACTGCATGTGTGTGGTGGTGTCAACCTTACCGGTATATGGGGTGTTCAGGGAGAAAGGAAAGAGAAGAGACCCCACTTGAACCGTTCTGTCGTTGACCACCGGCGCAAGCACGACAGCATGGTGGCCTGCATAGATACAGGGGGACATCCCGAGTACATGGTGCCGTCTGCCTCTCTGGCTGATATACGCACCGGAATGCTGTTCCGCTGGCCGATGGCCATCAGCAGTCTCGCGAGGTCTTTTGCGCATGGCGCCACGTCCTCCTCGCTTAGGCCGCTCGCCTCTCCCAGTCCCTCGCTCTACATTACACCACACATGATTGACACACACACACACACACGTGGTTCACGATGAGGATCATTTCTCTCTGTGGGTGTCTGTGTTGTGTGTGTGTGGCTTACGAATGGTTCCTCGCCAGCGTGGGATTGCCCGGGGCGGACCATCCACATCTGACGAGTCTCCCAGACGGCGGCTGCCTGCAGGGGTGTAGGGGAGATCCATGGATGCAGGGATGGATGGATGTATTCCTGTGTGCGGGTGTCCCTACGGCGAGGGTCTTGGGTGTGTATTTCGCCATGTCGAAGTCCGTCATCGCCAACTCCTGCACACAACACAGGCCACACACAAGCTGGTCAATGCGTGCTGTTGTGTCTCCTGTGTCCGACTCACCAGCAGGAAGTCGACGAATGCACGGTGCTTCGAGCCGCCGGAGATCCCCCCAGCCGTGCAGAAACGCTCAGCGAAGTCGGCAGCAGTGCGATCGGCCGCCAGCCACACCGACGTCAGCTTGCTCGCCACCACGCTGCACACACATATGCATATCAAACGGACACACACGTGATGGTGGGTGCCTATGATCGGTTCGCCTCGTCTATTACTCGATGATGGCCTTCTCGATGGCGATGATGTCCTGCTCAGTGTAGATGCGGGGGCGGAAGGCAGACGCTGGCTCCTTGTTGAGGGCGGCTGTGAGGTCGCTGAGAGGGACCTGGTGGCTGGAGGCCATATACAGACATGTGAACCCGACCTGCACACACACGGACCACACCCACACAACACACATGAGGGAGAGGGAGGTGTGGGTGTGTTTGTGTTTGTGTGCGCGAGTGCGTACGGCCAGCAAACTGAAACGGGGGATGCCCGAGTTGGCGAACTCATTGTTTGCTGCGCCCGCAGAATGCAACCAAGGACACCAACACAATGAATGCCGCTCTCTCTGTGTGTCGGTTGTGTGTGTGTGTGTGTGTGTACCTGTGTATAGGTAGCTGTCCTTGAGCGTCACCGCCAAGTTGAGCGTCCTCGTCTGGATGCCAAACTTGTCCGAGACGGCCATCATGCGGTCCACCACGTGGCCGCGGATCTCTGTCTTGAACTCGTCCGAACATGACTCAGGATAGTCGGCCGGCAGACACAGACCCTGACGCACAGCACACCCACATCGCCGCCAATGTGTCAATGTGCGTATGTGGGTGTGTGGGTGTGTGGGTGTGTACGTCAGAGGGCGTCCTGGGCGGGGTGGGTTTCTTGATCTCGCCGTAGAGTCTGTCACTGAGGCTGTAGCGCTCATCTGTCCGCCAACGCTCCTGAAAACTCGCCTGCAGATTCCATGTATACCAACCATCACACACAAAGATGGCACAGGTGAGAGTAATTGCGTGGCCCTCCTTTCCCCACAGGTGTGTGTGTGTCACGTGTGTGTGTGACTGTCCACTCACCATGGCGCGGTTTTCGCTCCGATTGAGCTGCTTGAGAGCTCTCCACAGATCCTGGACACAGGGCATGATGTCGGTGTACGTCAGGCCGCTGATGCGCTCCAACTCGGGCGGCTGTGGGTGAATGACAGGTAGCACAGACAACACATGATGACACATGTGACTGTTTGTTTGTTTGTTTGTGTGCGTGTGTGTGTGCGTGTGTGTGTGCGTGTCGTGTTGGCTGCACACGTACATAGTCCTCCTCCTCAGGCAGGTCGAGGCAGAGGCTGCGCGCCCCCCACACACAGGCGGCCTGGAAGGAACAGACCAACACACACCACACCAGACGTGACGCACGGACTGGGCTGGGCAGTTAATTCCTTTGTGTCTGTCTGCCTACAGTGAGCATCTTGGGGCCGTATTTCGACAGATCGAACTCAGTCAACGCCAACTCCTGCACACCACACCACACCACAGCCACACACGGATGTGTGAATGGGCGTGCATCCGTGTATGGGTGTGGGTGGCTCACCGTCAGGAACTTCGCGAACACGTGTGGCTCGGTGCCGCTCGGCAGCTGGGCGGCCATGGCGTACCGCACCACGAGGTCGGCGGCGGTCTCGCACTCACAACCAGATCCAACAACGCTGCACACACCACACCACACCACACCAATCAGACGCATACCGACACACATACAATGACAGACAGGGGATTCCCCTCTTTCTGTGGGTGGGAGGGGTGTGGACGTGTAGGTGTACCTTTTGACTTTCTTCTCGATGTCTACGAGCGCCTGGAGGTCATACGACTTGTTCTTGGGCATGTCGTTCATGAGTTCCACGATCTTCTGGCCGAACTCCCAGGACGCGCCGCCCTTGACCTGCTGCTGCGCGATCCAGATGCACGTGTAGCCCACCTGACACACATGACGATGAACACAGACGTGTGGGTGTGTTGTGTAGATGAGTGGGTGTGGGTGTGGGTGTGTTTGTGTGTACGGCTGAGAGGTTGATGCGCTTCATGCCGGGGCAGTACTTGGAAACTGACACAGATGCACGAAGCACCCACACACAGAGTGTCCGTCCGCCGCTCTGTGTGTGTGTGTGTGTGTGTGTGTGGTGTGTGTGGTGCTATGCGGGCTCACATACCTAGGTATGAGAACTGGTCCGTGAGGTTGGCCGCGAGGTAGAGCACTCTGTAGTGCAGGTTGAGCTCCTCGGCGGCCTCGAACAGTCTGTCGACCATCATGCCCCGCGCCCCCTGCTTCCAGTCCGCAGAGCAGTTGGCGACATAGTGACCCGGCAATACCAACTCCTGCACACAGACAGACAGAAGACACACGCGCACACAGGTGTGTTCACAGCCCTCATGAGCTCCGACCCCCTGTTTTGCATGCGTACCTTGATCTGCACGTCCACGGCCTTTGGCTCCATCACCATGATGGCTTGCTCATCCCGCTCGCCGTCCTGCTGGCCATCCTTCTCGCTCAGGCGGCCCTTCCGACAGGTCTTCTTGGCCTTCGGAAGCAGCTCTGGTGGCATGTAGAGCAGGTCCTGACACACACGGGGGAATGGATGGATGCAATTGGATGGGATGGATGGGTGTGGCACGTTATGGATCCCTCCCGCATGGCTGCTTACGCGTTTGCCTAACATCCCAGAGGCCATCACGATGGTGGCGGACGTGACGCCACAGAGGGCCTCCGCTCTATGCGCACGGAGCTATACGGAGCTGCACGGGAAAGGACTAGTACGTGTAACCTCTACGGGGCAGTGCTTGACACTGGGAAGGACACTTGTGACCTCTCCGGGGCAGTGCTTAGCACTGGACAGAACAGAAATGTGGAGGAAAGCTATGGATGTCGATCGCTGATGGGCAGCGTTTCAAGGGGCTCTTCCCGGATCTCTCTTTCTGGCGGTCGTTCGGGCACGGGAGTCAGGTTTTGTCAGGTTTGCACTGGTCCAAACAAGATCCCTGCAAAAAATCAGAAGTTCCCGGCGGGTCTGGCAAGTTCTCGCCTCGAGGTCGTGCCGACTCTCGGGTCATCGGCACTGCAGATCTCGGAGTGTTGCCCTTTGCCTTCTTGCTGTCGTCAACGGAGAAGGTCCGGCCTCTGTTTCCTCCGTTCTTGCCTCATATCGGTGTTTCAGTCGACCTCTAGGGTAAGGGTAAGGGTGAAGGGTTTGGCCAGGAAGCTCGGCAGGCCGATTTGCACACCCTTTTCAGTACTGCCTCCCTGTCAGAAGGAACACGTGATGCAACAGCCATATCCATATAGCTGCCTAGCTGTACACCCACCCTGTTGCGGCACCTGCAGCCACATACAGGTCCGCACGGCATCTGGTGCTTGCCTGTCTGTCTGTCTGTCCGTCTGTCTCTGTGTACACACATCAAAGCTAGCACCCAACACGCCCATCCATCCACGCATCCGTCCATTCATAGAGTTGAGTCATCTTGTGCCGCCAGCGGCGGCAAACGGTGGCCTCACAGGTCTGTTGACAAACCCCCTCCCATTCCCATAACCCGCCCTTCCCCTCCCCCTCTGCATCACGCCACGACCCCTGCCATCGTTTGCCTCTGGAGGCGCTCCAACAGCTGCCGGCGCTTGCAGGTTCGGAGGGGGCGGTGGCCTCCGAGGCACCATGCCCCTCCCCGGCACACCCCTCGGCACACCCCTCGGCACACCGCCCGCCCCTCGCGGCGGCGGCAGGGGGTGTGGGCCTCGGACTTGATTGACGCGCCTCACTCCACCTACTGCTGCTGCTGCTTGGGGTGGTCGTGGTGGTTGGGGGCCACTGGCTGACGAGCCATCTCCAGTGGATGGCGTGGCGGCTGCAGCGCCTGCTGCTGGGGAGGGGGAGGGGTGAGGCGCATCCGGCCGTTTGTCGGCCTGTGGTTTGTCGGATGGGGAGTCGTTGGGGCCGCCTAGCTGCGGCGCGCTCTCCGGCCCTTTGTCGGTGTTGATGTTGTTGTTGTTGTCGACAGCAGCTGCGCCCTCCTGCTGCTCTTGCTCTTGCTGCTGTGGCTGCTCGAGTTCTTGTGTGCGCTTGGCGATTTCTTCGCTGATCTGCTCGGCGGTGAGTGGTGTGAGGGGGCAGCCGAGCAAGAAGTCGCAGTAGCGGCACTTCCACGCCTCACGCGGCTGCACACCTGCATGCATAACAGAGACATCTCATGAAGAGAGGTAGACAGAGAGAGAGATCGTGCATCGATCCAGGTACAAGGCCCACCAACCTTCGGCGTGTCTGTCGCCCTTCCACCACTGCAGCAGCTCCCGCAGCTGGAACATGACTGCCCGCTCGGCGTAAGGGATCCTCGATCGGTGGAACTCCTTGCCGTTGAAGTCATACGCCACCTCCATCTCTGATTTGTGAGGGAAACAGACACACATGAAGCGACAGACACCGTTGGCCCCCACTTGGTGCCTGTGTACCTGGCCGGATTTCGGGCAGGCCAGCGGCCGCTTCGAGCACAGCGGGCCAGAGCTCGTCGATGGACTCAAAGGATGAAGTCAGCGCGTCGGACTTGAAGCGTCCCTCGAAGGCCACGCCCCATGACTGTAGCATGGGCTCGATCGGCGTCACGCCGTCACGCAGGTCCTTCAACAGACGGTAGTACCTGCACACAAAGAGCTTCCTTGGTGGAGGCGGTCATCTGTGTGTGTGTGTGTGTGTGGAGGGGAGGGGAGGGGATATACTGACAGCTGCAGCTGGAAGGCCGACCCCTGTTGCTGCGACATGGAGGGCATGGTCTCCTGCCGCCTTGTCTTGGTGTCGCCTATCACCGTCCACCGCCCGCAGCGGCCTTTGAAGCTCTCCTCAACTATGCGAACCTGGATAGACGGACGGCACACGCGCAAGTGTGTGTGTCGTGGATGCAGTGGTGTGTGGTGTGTGGTGCTCGCAGCGCACCTCGTCGATGATGCCTCTGAACAAGGCCCCCTGTATGACGCCGAAGACGGGGATCTCCCGCGCCTCCCCCTTGCGACACACTTGGGTGATGAGCATGAGGGCGTTCCACAGCCGAACGCCCAGCTGGTCCTCGGCGGTCTCAACCTGACACATCCACACACACACAGAGATCAACCACGTGTGGGAGGGTGCTCGCGGGGTCTGCGTGCGTGGACGTACTTCTATTTCCTCTATGTCGTGGTCGAGTCGCTCCAGCTCGTCGTGCCGGGCAGTGCCCGCAATCATGGCCGCCGTGCGGCGCTTGATGCCTGTGTGACACACGCACATACACATACACATACACACCCACTGGATCCTTAGCCGCCCGTATACCTGTTTCCAGCACGAACTCTGCCTGTTTCTCGCACCAAAGCTGACTCGACATGTCTGACCACACCCACAGGCGACACACACAACGCACAGGCATCTGCACTGAGCCGTCCGTCGCCCGTTCTTGCCGGCGTCTACCGGTCACGGACAGGCCTCTGGGCGTCTTCCATCGTTTGTACGGTGCGCCCTCAGGCAGCCGCGACGAGAACTCCAACGCCGCCGACAGATCCTCTATGTCCATCCTATACGCCCAACGACCCGACGACAACAGATTAACCAGCCAGGCGATGAGCAGAGATCTGCAGCGAGATCAGCGTGTCGTCTTGTTACTGAGCGGGCCCATCTGTGTTTGCACTGCCGGCATCGGCCGACGGCGCAGCTGCCTTGGCTACTTCAGCAGCGTCGCGCGCCGCCCCTGGATCTGGAAAGTCACACACACACACAGTGATTATCGGTGATGGTTGATCCAGCGAGAATTCTCAGTCTTCCATCAGACGCACCTTCCTCCTTTGCATCTGAGCGGTTGAGGAGCATTGCTGTGTCGGTCCGCAGCAGCTCAAGCCATGAGCAGATCCCACCGCCGCTGCTGAAGTGCCTGGCAATGCATCTACCTCCCAAACCACCACCGATTCGGAAGCGAATTCTCCAAGACGCGGAAATGGATTCGGGTTCGCCGTCCTGCGAGCCTGAAGCAAAGCTCGCCAGAGAAGGTGGGCCGGCAGCCTGGCGGAGGCGTTCGTTGCCATCATCATTGTTTTCTCGCGAGCTCTTCACCGCCATGGTAGACCGTTCCATCGTTGTGGTGCGTGAGGGGTGCATCCAGGGCCTTTGGGAAGATGAGGACACCGCCGACGTCGTCTTGGTCACCAACTCTCGGCGAATATGGGTACGCACCGAACCGCACCGATGGCTGTGTCGGCGAGAAAAGGATGCATGTCCGCTTCCCTCTCCCCGCAATGCTTTGCGTCGATGCTGATTCAATTGTGCTGATTTGACTGGTTTCCCGTTCTGTGTGGCTGTGCGATCGTCAGGCGCATCGGTGTGTGTTGGCGAGTGGGTCACCTGTTTTCAAGGTGAGCAAGACCTCCC